CCAGCATAAGCTGTAGCTCACGACCACCCACTTCCATAGAAAGTCCTTTACTCACTCACTTTGTGGTTTTGATGGGTAACCCGTCAGAATAGGTTTAGAGAACAGAAGTTACTGTTTTAGAGGGCTGTCGTATCTCCTTGCGATCAGCTATCAGCTGCTTGAGGGCAGTGGTGCTGTCTTGCTCTTCCTTGCAACCTCAGGCTCTAGGATGGGCCCAGCACAGAGTACTCTGTACATGTTCCCAACAATGCTGGCCCCTGACTTTGTGGAACACGCCAGAGGTATGTTGTGGCCGATAACTTCCACGCTAAGCTTCTGCTCAGCACAGGGAGGAATGCTAATCTCCCTTAAGCACATTTCTCCTTCTCCTTCTTCTTTTTTTTTTTCTCACTCTGTCACCCTGGCTGGAGTGCAGTGGCGTCATCATAGCTCACTGCAACCTCAAACTCCTGGGCTCGGGCAATCCTCCTGCCTCTGCCTCCCAAGTGATGTGCTCCACAATGCATGGCTAATTTTTCTATTTTTAGTAGAGATGGGATCTGGCTCTTGCTCAGGCTGGTCTCAAACTCCTGAGCTCAAGCAATCCTCCCACCTCAGCCTCCCAGAGTGCTAGGATTACAAGCGCAAGCCACTGTGCCCAAAGCACACTTCTCGAGTCACTCTGCTCTTAAACCTTCAGCAGCTTCTCATTTCGCCTTGAACTCTTCTCTGTAGCTTTTAAGGTCCATCAGTCCTTTCCCCTCTATTTCAGCAGTAGCCATCTCTGCTCTCGTTCGGCTGCCCAGAAACAAGCCTCACTGAGGTCTGATTCTGATTCTCAGTCATCAAGGACATCCTCACTTTTCCCTTCCAGCGGTCCAGTCCTTCTGATCCAAGAAACCTGCCCTGTCCCCATCCCTTATGGTCCCAGCCCTTGAAGATCTTCCCATGGCTGAGCTGTCATACACTTTAGTGTGTCCTTCAGCAGGCAGTTATTCACTTGTGTCCCCAACAAGATCGTGAGCTGCTTGAGGTTGCTGTATCAAAGGTTGCCGGGTGCATTTCCAGACACAGGGCTCATGAGGGTGTGTTAGAGGACTGACACAAGGCGTACCTCCTTCTCTGACCCCCTCTTACCAGCCAGTTGCATTCTCCACCTCTAAATTTTAGTAGTTACGGGATACTGAGAAAGAAGTATCTGTCTGAAAAATGGCAACCCAAACAAAGACTTCAGTGAAATTTTTAGTGTCTCTTGGTCAATCCTGCTGCTGATATTGAGTCACCACTCATTTGTGGTGATTCTAAGCCTCACTTTATGATTCACATTCTAAAAATGGGGTGAGGTTTTTACTGAGAAACTAATTCCAGTGTGAACTTAGCCTCACAATTATTAGGTTCTTCTGTGGGTTTGCAGTTGCTAGCACAGCACTTCTCAAGGTCTACTGTCTTATGGATCATTGGATGTGGCTGCCCCTTGGCAAATACCTAGAACCCATTGCACAGGGCTGTGCAATAGCCTAGGGGGTTCCCTGTAATAAATTTGTTCTAGGAGGCTTTCTTAGGACTATTGATTACTTGTAACCAGCCCATGTCTGATCTGGCCCCAGTCCTGTAGCTCTTTGCTGCGTTTTCCTGATCGTGAAGTATATGTCTGTGCTTCCCTCTCCAGACAAAAAACATCTCAAAGGTGGGGCCGTTTCCAAATATGGTCATTTGCTCAATGAATGCTCGTTCACTCACTCACTCATTCATTCATTCATTCATTCACCAAGTGTATGTGAAATGTCTATATGCCAGGCACTGGGCAAGGCGTTCAGGATCCAGAAAAGAGCAGCACCAAAGCCCTGGCATTAAGGACACACAGGGCCCTAGGTAAGCACAGAGGTGATGACAGTGCAGGTGCCTTCACAGGGCTGGCTGCAGGGAGCAGGGGGCGAACATGGCTGTCTGGATGAGAGGTCCTGTTGACCCCTCCCTCCTCTTCATTCAGGCAGTGTGACGCTTGTGACTTATGACCTTGCCGGAGAGGGTGGGGTGGCCTCAGGCTCTCTTCTTTCTCACCAGGAGGGGGTACAAAGAGATGGATAAGCTCAAGAAGAGTAGATTCTTCTTCCATTCATGCTTTCTGAATACTGGTCTTGATTCCTCAGCCAGAAGGTACCCGTATCTATAAAGAGGAGGTTTCAGAATCTGCCACTGGGCTCTGTAACTGAGCACATGACTCCACTCAGCATCTAGAACTGCTCTGACAATGACTGAAAAGGGAAATCACTAAAACCAGAATGTATACATGACAGAAATGGGGTAGTTTCATGAAATATGCATCCTAGTCCCAAGACTTCCACTAACAAACTGTGCTACCTTGGGTGAGTCATTTAACACTAGCAGCAGTGACGGTGATGGCTCACATTTGTAAAAGGCTTGGGATGGGGCCTGGCACATAGAAAGCCCTCTGTAAGGTCACCTGCTATTATTATCATTGTCATTGTTACAGAGGGTTTATTATGCCTGGTACTAAGCATTTGACATACATCATCTCATTTAATCCTAGAATTATGAAGGGAGTTTTATTATTCTTGCTGTACAAGGGTGAATTTAGGCTTACAAGAGATTAAAGTATGAGTCTAAGATTGTACAGGACTCAAACCTGGACAGTCTAATCCCCTTGTTCCTGTGCTCTCAGTCTCTGTTGTTACACTTGATTTCCTTGTTATGGGTGCAGTTTCTCATCTGTAAAACTTGAAAGCCGGACTATTGATCTTTAAAATCCTCTAGTTCTTGGCCGGGTGCAATGGCTCACACTTGTAATCCGAACGCTCTTGAAGGCTGAGGTGGGAAGATCACTTGAGGCCAAGAGCTCAAGACCAGCCTGTATAAAATAAATAAATAAATAAATAAAGACCCTCCAGTTTTAAAATTTCTAGGTATTTCCCCATTACCATCACCTTTTCCTTCTCTTCTTCCCCTGTGCCCTCTCCCACCCCACTTACTCATGAATTTTGCTGGGTTCGTCATCACGGGATCGGCAGGATGTTTTCCCCACTGAGTTATGACCCTGCATGTGTCAGCACATGGACTTGTATCGTGGCTTTTTTGTTTTATTTGGAGAAGGCAGGAGGGCTGGTTTACATGCTGCTGTATGCGAGAGGGGGAATCTGACTCTTCAATTTTACTGTCTTATCTTGGCCTGCAGCCATTACCACATTGAGTGACACTAACACTTGACAGGGCTTGAGAAAGGTGTCACCGGCAGAAGCCCATGGGAATCAGCTCTTGGTGTTTGTGGGCTCTGCACTGCTCTCTGTTAAGGTCTGGTTTAGGAGACCTGCGCTCTCCAGGCTGTTTGCACACATCCAGTCCTGTGATTGGTAAGGATCTTAACAGAAGGACTAAACTTACGGGCTTTCCATCCTATGTTGTGCTTGGGTATTCTGGCAAACTTCCACGCAGTTTCCCAGGATATTTCATTATAGTTCCCTTATAATTGATATTTGTAAAGTCCTTTGGTTGGGTAGTAGTCTATATGTACACTATAGTCTGCAGTATTTTTTGTGGCTGTGACCCAAAGGTTAGAGTGTTTTGGCAGCAGGAGACCTGGGTTCAAGGGTTGGATCTATCACTTCCTAGCTTGGTGCATCTAAAACACCTGCTTATTATGGCTTCTTCCTGATTATTCTTTAGGTGGGATCTATTATGAAAAAAAAAGCGTGAGTTTGTTACTATCCTGAGATTCATGAATTCTTCCACTTAGAAACCTGGAGGAAGCATTTTAGGAACCTTAGGCCAGGTTCCAAATAAGGGCCAGGAAACACTGAAAGTGTTGGATAAGTCAATTTCTCTCATCCCAGATTTCTTCATCTGTAAAAGAATTATATTTAATAGTACTACCTGCCCCACTCAACTAAAATGCCTACTGATTCAAATGGAAGTATGGCATGAAAATGTTTCTGAAAATTATAAATTCTATATAAACATTAATTTTTTTTAGGAAGTATCATATAGCAAAACAAGTTGTTTTAATCACCAAAAAAGCAAAAGCTATTAGAACTTTCTACTGTGTTTTTCCTTAGTATAGATTATTTACTACAGATAATAACCTATAGTAAAATTTCCTTAACTTTTTATTGTGCACCAATTGGAAGACTATGAGTTAAATGGTTCTAGACACTATCTGAATATTGTGTGTATTCAGTTATTAAGAATTGATATTGTTCAAGGAGTATAGTAGCTGTTTTGTGGAAGCACATTTATTTTGTATTAATTCAGATTTTATTCATTATTAGATCAAGAGTTAGGTTCAAGTTGTAAAAAGACATCGATAGCATTAACTAAATTTAAAGTCAATTAACTATTCTAATGTATACATAGAATGTAATTACAGTGTGAGTAAAGGGTAGATCTTTATATACTAATTCAAATTAGCCTAGATTGAAAATATGTTTCTATCACTGGCATTTTTCACTAAAGCAAATATTCCCTATCCTCTTACTGCAAATGAACAAGATGACTCCATTTCTATTTTTCTTGATTGGTAAACCATGCTTGGAGATACCATCTGGAGAGTGTTGGATTTCTGCCAAAGATTTAAATCAGGCCTGAAAAGAGTTACCTGCCTAAGGCAAGAAACTGCACTGATTTAATAGAAAAGAACATGCTTTTATTTCACCATTGGTAAGAGAGAGTGAAAGTACTTTGAAAAGTTTTAATATTTGTTTTACAATGATAGCACCATATCATAGATAACAGTATTTCTAAAATATAATAATTGGGAAAATTAGGGAATCTAATTGCTGAAATTTGTGTAATTATTTACAAGTTTGATATGAAGGCTTATCCAGAGCTCTTGATGCTAAATGCAGATCTTTCAGTATAAAAGGTGGGGCAAAACAGGAGCATAGAGAGGTAAGGCAAGCTTGAAACCACCTCAGGCTCCTGTGAGTAGTGCCAAAAGCCCTAGACCTGTGTGGGTAGGGTATAATGCAATGATTGTCCTTTGTAATTTGTTTTTTTTTTTTTTTAAACAGATTTCTGCTTGACAGATTAACCAAAAGTAAGAGGGGCTAATCTGTGTACATTCTGAGGATTGTTCTTGGCAAGACCCTTGTAACAGACCTTAGGCCCAAGTCTGCTGTGCTACCATACCTCTGCCTCACCCCAGACGTTATTCTGGGGTCCACCTGAGCTCAGCAGCGTGAAGATGACCAGCACCTTCCTAGCATGACGACTTTGGAACATGTGATTGCTACCCACCAGTCAGAGTGGGTCTCCTTCAATGAAGAGCCACTCTTTGCTGCCCCTTCCGAGGGTAAGGAGTGCCTTCATTTCCTAAAGTGAAGAGAGTGGCAAAGAGCTGTGCCTGTTATGGCTTCTACTTGATCATTCTTTGAATGAGATCTTAACATAGAAAAAAAGAGTTTGTCACTTTCCTGAGATGCATGAATTCTTCCACTTAGAAGCCTGAGGAAGCATTTTAGGAACCTTAAGTCCCTAAAAAAGGGCTCTTTTCTTCCAAGAAACAAAAACTAAATATTTACAAAGTGCTTTACTCTCAGCCTTTTAAAAGTATAGTTGATAAGACTGACAGGCTCTGGAGCCAGATTGCTTGGGCTCAACTCCTGGATCCACCACGCCTGAGTGATGTGCTTTTGGGTAGATTATTTATTTAATGCATAATTTCATTATCTGTACAATGGGGATGATTATAGTACCTATCTCACAGGTTGTTGTGAGCATTAAGGGAATTATTAACACACAGAAAGTGCTTAAAACAGTGCCTGGCATGTGGAAAGAGCTCAGTATTGTCATAGTCGATCATAACAAAGATGACTTCCAGGGAACTGATGCTCAGGGCTGAAGGTCAAGGAAGGGTCTGGGAGGTATTTGCAGAGCCATATCAGTTGGTTCTGTTCTGCAGCTGCTCGTGCCAACTGAAATCCCACCTTCATTTATAATACCTGGAAAGTATGAGTCTACGGGTGTACTGTCCAATATGGTAGCCATGTGGCTACTGAGCACCTCAACAAGTCTGAATTGAGATATGCTGTAAGTGTAACATACCTACAGTCAACCTAGTCTTTAAAAAATTTAAATATCTCATTAATAGTTTTTATATTGATTACATTCTGAATTGAAATATGTGTTGTTAAAAAGTTTCTCCTGTTTATTTTTACTTTATTTAATGTGGCTACTAGAAAATTTAAAATTATGTATGTGGCTCACCTTTTATTTTTCTTGGACAGTGATAATCTAGGGGTTTTGATTACAAGGAGGTGAACCAGTTTGTTTGGCTAGTGAGGGGAAAAAGGATTTTCATATTAGTTCTTTGATCTTTAAAGAGTTTTCATAGAGTACAATTAATTGACTTCCTTTGGTGTACAGTTGATGAATTTTAGCACCTGTATAGATTAGTTCATCCACCACCATAATCAGGATATACTTTTTTTTATTTTCAAAAGAATTTTTCAAAGACTGTTAAATGTTCTAAGACAAATACATTGAATACAATGCTACAAGAAGAGCCTCTATGTTCATTCAGCTGGTCACTAGTGCAGGGCTTGCACCTGGTGATCTGTGAATGCGTGTAGCTTGGACTACACAGAGTTTGAAATTTGAGTTTGCACGTCTTCAGACAGAAGGTGTCCTATTTAGCCACAGTCTCTACCAGTCTCTATTGCCTTTCACTTGTCTTGCTCAACTCAGTTATATTTCATACTTGACCTCTGTAGGCATTTTTATTTGTGACCCCCAAGTGCTGGAGCAGCCACTAGGATAAGAATAGTGAAGAAGGCTCCCAGCCTCAGCCTGCCTGGACACCAACTGGAGACATGTTGAGGTTGTAGCTTTTACACGTGATTAGGGAAACAATCCTGTAGTGTAGAGTTGGATGGGTGTAGCTGTTTCTTCTCCCCCACCCACTGTAATGGTGAGTCCTGTGGTCACCCCTTGCCCATCCTTAGCTTTTGCCTCCGTGAGACAGTTCTGAGGAGCAGCCTTCCTCACATAATGGTGGTCTCTGGTATCTGTTCCAGGGGGTACCGAAGAGCACCTCCCAGGATTGTCATCTTCCTCAGACCAGTCTGAGAACTCCTCAGGGGAGAACCACATGGTGGATGGAGGCTCTCAGGACCTTTCCCACTCGGAGCAGGATGACTCCTCTGAAAAGATGGGCCTCATCTCTGAAGCAGCCTCCCCACCTGGGAGCCCTGAGCAGTCCCCACCTGACCTGGCCTCGGCCATCAGCAACTGGGTTCAATTTGAAGATGAGACACCCTGGGCTAGCACATCACCACCTCATAAAGAAACAGGTGAGACAGGTGGGAGGCCAGGAAGGTGTGGGCTTGGGCATGTGCTCAGCAGGGATGCTTTTCCATGGGAGGTCTGTAGGGCTACCAGGATTCCATTCTACCTGCTTCAGAGCCCTGAAGCACCTGCCACATAAGAGACAGCAGACTGAGATCTCATCTGGTTTAATTTTAAAACTAGTTTTTGTTGACATAAGCATATAAAAAAAATTGTTATGTTCTGGGATATATTTCCAACCTTTTCCTCTTGTCTCTGGCTGTTGACCTGTCTCTGAAAGAATGCATATATATTTATCTATTAGGGATTGGGAATTACATTTACTTAGCGCCTAAATTGTAAGTTCCTTACTCATAGAAATGAATGTCTTTCAAGGTGTGGACCAGACTATTTCTAATAGAGTCACCAGTGGGACTTGTTAAACATGTATATTCTCATGTTCCAGGCTCTTGCATCCAAATCTTCGGGGGTGGGGGTGGTGGTTAATAGTACATCTCTTATTTTGTGGCATTTCAATGGCCAGAAGCTGCACTGGGGAGCTTAGTGAAGCCATAAGAGTTGTTAGTCCCCACCCTGGTGACCTGGCTACTTGCTTTGTTGTGCACTGAAGCATACTAAGGGTGATCAGTGATCAAAGGTAACCTTTGGGACTATTAGTTTTCTATCTGCTGCTTTAACAAATTACCACATTTAGTGGCTTAAACAGCATGAGTTTATCATATTACTATTCTGTATTTCAGGAGTCCATTATGGGTGTCACTGGGCTGTAGGGGAGAATGTTTCCTGGCCTTTTCCAGCTTCCAGAGGCTGCCCACATACCTTGGCACCTGGCTCCTTCCTCTTTGTCCAAAGCCAGGAATATTGTGGGGTTTTTTTTACCTTTCTTCTCTCTGTGCCTTTTTTCTGAAGTCACATCTTTTCTGACTTCTTCTGCCTCCATCTTTTATTAAGGACCTTTGTGGTCCTTACATTGGGCCTACCAGGTTAATTTCCCCATCTCAAGGTCCTTAACATAATCATACCTGCAAAGTCCCTTTTGTAAGGTAATATATTCACAGGTTCTGGGGATTGAGATGTGGATATTTTGGGGGGCAGGGCGTTATTCTGTCTGCTGGAGACCTACTAGCCAAAAACAGGATTGTTGTGTTTCTCTGTTGGTGGGTTAAATGTTACTCTAGTTTTACTTTTCAAAAACAGTTCATTTGTTTTTCAAACATGTTTTCAACACCAGTGAAAATTATTTTAAAGAAAATTTAGAACGTAATTCTATCATATAACAAATGTTTCCATTTTTACACAATAATTTGCACATTTACGTATGCGTTTTCACATTTAAGCATCAGATTTCTCCGTGAATTGTTGATGAGAGAGCCATGACACTCAAATCAGCGCGGAAGAAGTGACAGGTCCAGACAGGCGTCCCTTACTAAACACCTAACACTGGCAAGACATTGGACTAAGTGTTTATACATGTGGGAAAAAGTTACTGAACACTGGGCAGTGAGACAGCATAGAAATGTGTTCCTTATGTTTAATAAGACACATTTACTGCATACTTATTCTCAGTTTCTTTGCTCTACGCTTTAATCTCATCATCTCAGGTACTCCTTACAACAGTCATATGAGGAAGATATGTTACATGTGGAGGAGACTGAGGTCAACAGGTTTGGGAATTTGCCCTAGGTTGTATGCTAGGAAGTAGCCAGGGGAGCTTCAGCACCAGGCAGGGTGGCTCCAGAGTCTTGGAGCAGCCTAGGGATGAGCTGTGGTGTTTGCCTCGTTCTTCCTGCTGCTGTTGCTGTTGCTGCTCTGGTATCCTCTGCTCCCTCCTTACAGGGGAGGCAGGGAGACAGGGATGGAAGGGATGGGTGGGTGGTGTTTCTTCACTCAGTTGTCCTGAAATGGCCATGCCTTCAGGGCACTGATTATATTCATGTCATTCAGATTCTTTCACATCTTATTCATACCTTACCTTTAGCCTCAAAGATTTCCTGATTGCTCAAAACTATTTTTATGGCAGATGGGTCAATTTGCTTCAACTCTTCACTTATTTTTGCAAAACTAATTTCGAGGTTAGTCATCATCATGTTGCCCCCATCTGACTGAGGATCTTATCTTGTTATTGACAACGTTTTTGATATATTCCCTTTTTTTATTTTTTTAATTTATTTTTTTTTTTGAGACAGAGTCTCACTCATTGCCCAGGCTAGAGTACAGTGGCGTCACTCTAGCTCACAGCAACCTCAAACTCCTGGGCTCAAGCAATCCTACTGCCTCAGCCTCCCGAGTAGCTGGGACTACAGGCATGTGCCAC